CTTCCTCTCAGAGTTAAGCTACCCTTTATTTTGGACAACACTATCACACACATGATTGAGTCAACAATTTATGGCTTTTAAAAATAGGGATTTTGTCCTCTCTTAGGTTTATTGTTTATCATAATCATCTTTCAAGTGAAAAGGCTAATTTACTCTTTCTATAGGAATATTTTAAGCTTGATTATCATAATATTACAGCTGCCTGAAAAGGTCTAAAATGGGACATTGACCTTGAATGTTTTCTGCATTTAGCTCATGGTGCTTAACATTCAGGAAAGAATATAACCGCAACTCATTCATTAACGTATAATCGCAAAATGTTAACTATTGCTCTGTAAATACGTGCTGTGTAGATTATAGAAAGCTTGTAGAATACCGTAAAATGCATTTGGTATTTTACCAGGTTAAGTATGTGGGAAAAACAACATAACTAAAGTCTGTTTTCCCATTGGAGGTACACTAGTTTATAATTTAATTTTTACTGATATTTTGCCAGGTATATTCTTAGTTTGACAAAATGAAAGTGAAATAATCCTGACTTAATTAAACACAAACTAAATGACCTCTATTAGTTTCTCTTCTTTTTTTTTTCCCTCCTACTTTCACAAATATACTGGGAAAAGAGTGTTATGGAAGTGAGATGATTTCTCCCCCTAAAATGAGCTTTTTTATACAGGCTCCATAATTTGGGAATGGGATGGATTTATAGGACAAGAGGTTTGTCAAAAGGAAAGGTTTTTATTAGTGCTTCTGTGGTAGCGATCGCTTTCAGTTGGAATGATTGCTTCTTGCCAATGGAGACAATAATTTAAATATCCAAGTCTGTGCCCTAGAAATGAAAGGCAACAGAAAATGAGGAATGATGAATTGATAGTGGTTGGGCGGTAATGCAGAGTACGGTCTCCATCCTGACTTCGAAAGAAGTCTGCATGTTCTCAGTAGGAGTAGGGTGTCCAGAAGCAGGTTGACAGCACAACAAAAATCCCAGTTGGCAGATGAGGAGATGAGGGAGAGATAAGCGAGGCCACCTGCTCCAGGCCACACAGCTCAGGAGGCCTGGTAGAGGGGAACTTGGTATCTGAGTCTTTTTATTTGTATTTAAGACTCTTCCCAGGGACGTTTATTGTGGAGTTTTTTTGTTTTTTTTTTTTAGTTAAATCCAGTGGTTTGTAATAGTCTTGGTTTGCTTTTTGTAATATGGTATATTATGCCACACGTGAATCATCAAAGACAGCTGGGCAAACCGTTCAAAAAAGTAAACAGCTTTTCAAAGATATTATGTTTTTGTGGAAAAATCTGTAAAGGTAGATTACACTGTAATTTGAAACTCTAAATGTGTTATGCCTTGCTTAGTTTTAAATACTTAACAAATGCGCAGTATAAAATCAAAATCTGGTTCCTAAGTGACAATGATAAGCTTTAAACATTTTCATATAGATTAGCCCTGTTAATTTTCAGAAAAGGAAGGTGAAAGCTAAAAATAGTTGTTTGTATCCAATAATAACAAGACAGTATTTCTCATCACCTTTTGGCAACGTGAGAATTCACGGTTAGACTGTTTCAGGAAATGATTCCCACTTAAATGCAGTAAGATTTCTGGTGTAGACAACTTATGGGAATCTTCCTTTTGTTTTGTGGGGTTTTGCTTGTTGCCATTCTGTTCTTTCAAATGGAAATGAAGCATAGTCTCTGCTTGGTGTCTGTGCATTAGTTGGGGACTGGGAATGAAGTTGTTTGGATATTTGTGACCTCACTTTTTTCAGGAAGAAGGGATTGAAACTATGCATAGATGAAAGCTACTACATAAAAGACTGGTGTTAACTAATTTATTAATATTCCTTGTGAAACAGTCATCAGAGTTCCCTTTCATTCGATTTTTCCTGATTTGGGTGGACTCCTTGTGGTAAGATTGTGAAGTGTATAGACTGATTAGCCATATATGTTTATTCTAGGCTGTTTATTTATTTATTTTTTTGTAGTTGAAATTCTTGAAGGTTTAAGGTCAGTGTTACTGATGATGTGTTTATTTCCTATGATGACCCATTTCTTTTTCCCTGAAGGCGAGAAACCACTGTGACTAGGGAATGTGCTTGATATGACTGAGCTGTGTGTTTATAAAATATTTTGGGAACTGTCTCACAAGTTTAGCGAAGTAGATATTATTTTAAGTTTTAAATTGCTTAAATTGTACTTAAGAACATAAGTATAATCTTAAGCCCTTGACTTGTGCAAGTGACACTTTGATCCCAGGACGAAAACACCCAGCTCTACAAACCTAGTGTACTCCTGGCCATTCAGAAAGCAGTGAGTTCTGTGAACGCTGCACCTCGTGAAGATGAAATACGGTTAGTGAAAGATCAGTGGGGATGACGCTGTGTATGTTTGTACATGTATTTCTGTGAGCACAGAAAAAAGACTTATGCATACATATGAGTCTAAATATGTGTAAAAATAGACACCAGTGATATCAATGGTCCATAATGAGGACAAATAAATACCCAAAGGGAAATAAGAAAACTGTGGAAAATAAAAGATCACTCCTATGAAATGTGGTGACTTAAGGTCCATCGGTAAATAGAGCACAAATCTTGTCTTTAAAAAGCCATTTCGAAGGAGTAATAAACAGGTTCTGTCGCAGCACGCGAAGGCAGAGCAACTGAATAAAGTACAGGATTCTGCACAGGTGCAAAATCCCGGAATGCCTTCATTCAGCACATTTAGATATGTTGAGTACATTAAATAATTTTTATTTTTAAAGAACTATCCCCAGACAAAAATAAGAAAGACAGTGATTTTTGGCCTATCATTGGAAAAGTGTGGACGATTGACTCTATTAATTACTTTGAGATTGTCAGTCTCCTCAGAAATCAAGATAGTAACCACAAGAACCAAAGGATGCTTTTCTGTTTTTCTAATGCAGTGTTAACTTCCATGTTTCTATGACTGCATTTTAGAAAAATCATGTTTCTCTTTCAAAATGGCTTTTAATTTTTTTTTTTTAATTGTAAAATGATTACCAGTCTCCTTTTAGATTGAATAGACAAATCTTTTTTTTTTCCCTGGGTGTCTGCAAAATGCTTGGATTTTCTTCTCCATCTCAAAGCTCTTTTAATTCACTGCTCACAACCACATTTACATCTTAATTGCAGAGTTCACATTTAACAATATAGACAGCATAATGCTACTGGTAATTAAGCTTTTACTACCTGCTTTTATTCGGTAGTCTCGGGCACAGTTTTTGCTGGGTGAGTTCTGATCTAGAAACTTGTATACATTTAGACCACTAATGAAAGGAATCCAGCTCATAGCCCCAATATAGCTAAATACAAGGCTGGGAAAATTGCTTTCTTCTGCGGGGGGACCAAGTCATATCTGTCATTTTTATATTCTGAATGTTAATGTGGCTGTTCTATTTCAGTGGTTTGTTTTTTAAAGACCTAACAAATTTGAGAGGGTTGAGTCCTGATTTAGTGAATTTAACACACAGTGAATATCTGAACTAATTTATTTGGATCCCAAAGATTATATACTATTTCTATCATGTAATACTTAAGATGTAAAAGGTTGGTGAGCAGTAGAGCTGAATTATATTAAAATTGTGGGTTTTTCACTCTCCATAAGGTAGCAGTTATCTTTTTGCCATAAATAGCTGGTATCTATTCCAACGTACATTTGCTAGTATAAAAAAATCTCGTAGTTTAAAATAGGACCTAAGCAAACTCTTTGTTATATGGAAATTAAAGACACGATAGCTATACACCATTGTAGGAGAAAAAGCACTCTTCTATCGTCTTAGCCTTTTTTTTTTCTTTTCCAAACACTTTTGATCGGGAATTCTTAGGTTTGTAAATTATTATCTGCTCTAAATTAGTTCTTATCGTGATGAGACTGTGAGATGGTTTACAAAATGCTTCTGGGTTGATTTTTTTTTTTTTTAAAGCATTCAGGGTGCATTATGTATAGAAACAAATATGTACCCTGCATTTTATTTGAAAGTTGGATGTTTTGGGCAACATCATATATATGCATGCATGTGTCTCCCAGTTTGGAAGCTTGTATTGAAATAAATATATAATTAAGAGTACTGTGAGTTGCACTGTTTAGTAATGCTTAAAAAAAATTCAGTCTGTATTTTGTAAAAATGCATTGCCATAGATTTACGGTACTATTTACCCCACAGTCCTCAGTCTCCCACCTCTGAAACCTTCAAAGCCAATTCATCCTGCGACAGTAGTTTACCTTTGTTGTGAAAAGCTATGCATTATATAAGTAGGGACAGTAGGAGGTACAGAAATGTTTACACATATCATTTACCCAGGCATTCTCTCAAATTGTCCTGATGCGCTATTTCTCCTTCGGTGGTTTTGTACAACTGCATGCCACCTACGAGGTGCTCTCCGGACAATTTAGAAGACCATCTTTTATTTTAAAATCGCCCGGTATGCATCAGGAAAGCACATGATTAGGAATACATGAGCAAAGTACAGCAGCCCCCGTGTAATAAAACACAGACAACGGCAGGACAAACTTCATTCTCTACCTTCCGCAGAATCCTTTCCCCACATTAACTGAGAGTCTGCGTGAGTTCTTCTTTTCAAGGCAAAACAGACAGGAGGTTAGAAATCAAAGACAAATCCCTCCAGTGCTTAGAGAGTTAAGTTAGTTAGGTCTCTTTTGTAGCTTCTCAGGAAAAAAAAAAAAAAAAAAAAAAAAGGGAGAGAGAGAGAGAGAGAGAGAGAGAGAGAGAAGGGGGGGCCGCGAGCGACCCGGTCGGGAGCGTTTCCAGCTCGCGCTCTCCGCTCGCTCTCCCTGCCCACTCCCGGTTCGCAGCCCCCTCGGCTCTGCACCCTGCCTACCTGCCTGGCTCCGCTCGCTCCGAGCAGCCTCCCGTCGCCTCCCTCCTGATTGGGCAGCGGCCCCCCAATCGGCTGCGCGGCTGGGCCGGTGGGACTGCATATGTAAAGCCCTACTTCATATTAATAAGCTCCAATCGGGGCTTTAAGTCCTTGATTAGGAGAGTGTGAGAGCTTTGGTCCCAACTGGCTGTGCCTATAGGCTTGTCACTAGGAGAACATTTGTGTTAATTGCACTGTGCTCTGTCAAGGAAACTTTGATTTATAGCTGGGGTGCACAAATAATGGTTGCCGGCCGCACATGGATTCGGTAGAACTTTGCCTTCCTGAATCTTTTTCCCTGCACTACGAGGAAGAGTAGGTACCTTTTTCTTTCCTTTTTAAACTCCTCGTGGGGGGTGCGGAGGCGGGAGTGGACAGAATGTCTTTGCACACTGATGCAGGTAATGCCCTGGGTATTTTGTGTGCACGAGTGCTTGTTTGTGTCTGTCTGGTGCCTTTTGTGTGGAGGGTGATCTCCTAATTCAGTAAGTCGAGAATTGTTCTCTGACTACAATGTTACCTTTGAGGCAAAGCTCAGGGACTGTCAGTAAAACAGCTGTGTGACAGTCACTTCTTATTCAGGTGCTAAGAATAGGCACTTGGCACAAATGCCTAGTGAACTGTTAAAATGCATCTTTTACTAGGACCCATTTTCCCAAGGAAAGATGTTTTAAAATACAATATTCAAAATGATTTATACTATTGAGTGCCTCTTATGTATTTGCAGTTTGACAGATATTTTCAGCTCCCTGTCATTTCTTACCGCGCGGAGTTAGAGGCAAAATTGCACATTTACTAATTCTCCTTCAGAGAACAATTTTAAAACTAGCCCTGTGCAACTCAGGGCTAGAAAAATGTTATTTGCATGGTTAGCGTTAAGTCAGCACTTAACTGACAAATCAGTCCATTAAGTAACATGAGATTTTCACACATTATAAATATTTAAGGGGGAGGAAAAAAACTAAAGAAACAATAGTGACTTTAAAAATGTCTACTTAAATAAACAGAGCTTATATTGTGGATTTGTTTAATTTGTCGTGTCCAAAATCTTAGATGCGGTTTAATCAGCATTTATGAATATCTTTATGCACATGGAAATATAGATTACTAAGGGTGGGAGTGTATGGGGGTAGAAGTAAATTAGGCACTTTTGTGTGAATGACTAGGTCATAAACTTAATTTCAACCCACTGTTAAGATAAAATATTAGTATATCACAAGAGCTGTCACTGGTTTATTGCTTTCTGTTGAGTCAGTTATATTGCTCCGCTTTCCTATTACAATAATACCAACTGTTATAATTCTGAAAAGAGTGCTCTTGGCAAACATTTCTCTCTATAGATTGTGAAGAAAATTTAAAACTCCCAAAGATGAGGCAGTGCATTATAGGTAGATGTCCACTAGCTGTCCTTAGCGACTGCATGTTGCTCTGCTTTGTAATTAAGTAAGAGATGAAAAGGGACTTGCAGTCCCCGTGGCTGCTCGTGTACGTTTGAGTGTGAATGTGTGCGTGTGTGTGTGTGTATGCATGCTTGCACAAGCACACCCCCCCACAGCCACACGCACACAGGGAATATTAGCCAAGAGATGAATTTAGGAGGAACTGAAAGGTTGTGAGGCTGTGCTTGCATCAGTTTGAAACACTCAAGGGAAGAAACAACCTTAAGATGTGTGAAAATAAAAATGAAAAATAAACAAAGGTAGGACTGTCCACTCAAGTGTACTTTGAAGGTTAGTGCACCTGGGGCTAGAGACTCAGAGAGTTTAAAATGTCTTCATGTCAGGAAGACTGCCTTATTCAAGCTCGCTCAGATTCTGAACTTTCTCTAGTAAATAAATAAACAAAACAAACTTTAAAAATCCCCCAGAGGCTTCTTTTTGAAGTAGTTTCCTTGAATTTAACTTCTTACAGCTAATTTGAATAATTCATTTAGATAAGCCTCTTAAAACAGATGCATTTAAATGAAATCAAGGCACACGTCCTTTTGGCTTTGGCGCAAGATTCAAACTAGCTTTCTTTTTGGCTCAATTAAAAGTCATCTTTAAAAAATACAGATTTATTGTCTGGATGCAGTCCTGATGGTTACGTGGTTCACTGGACAGACAGAAAGATCTAACGCTGAGCAACGCATCTGCCTCTCTGTCTCAATTAATAAACCACAGAATTTATACATGCTATTAATATTCATAGTAATTGTACTGGGTTAAACCCCATCACGTGTGTGTATACAGAGAAATGAAATCAGAGTTATGCAGTTTCAGGGGGAAAATATTGGGCAATTTCTGCTTTGGAGGCTATTAAAAAGATTCATACAATTTATTGACCACCATTAAGAGAGCCTAAAATGTTAACCTCTAACTATGTATTTTTTATTTTAGGAAACGTGCCAGCACATTAAAGAACATAATACTTGAAAGCTTGTTTCATATTTAATAGCAGTAATAGCTGATAGCATAAATAGATGAAAATAATATATCTGCTCATTCTGACATATGTGTCAGTGTAATCATTCTAAATGAGTGTGCTCATCACATGAATCCCTTTCAACCTCTGATTAAAATGTAACATTGACTACAGGATTATAGAGCGGACTTAATTTTACTGACTGTTTTAACAGTTGTCACAGCTGCTGGAAGAAGGAAAGGCAATTGAAACACTCCTAAACAGACAAGGGGAGAAGGGAACAGTTTAGTAAATTTCAGCCTGATCACTGAGATCCAGACGTTGAAATTTTAACAGTTTTGTATGTTAAGATTATTGTTAAGAGCTACACAAGTTTCATAGTGTATGGTCCATCCACTTTTTCTGTTTCAAGGTTTTGTTTTTTTTTCTCTGCCCCATCGTCCCTTGTTAGAAGCTAAATTAAATCGCAATACAACTATTGAAAAGTAATGCTATAATGCCAAAATATAGGCGACAAACATAGTCAGAAGGGAAAAGATTTATACAGTAACAACAACAGTGACGCCTAAATCAGAGTGGACACTATTTTTTTTACGGAATGATAGGAGCTTGCCCAAGTCACTTTAGATGGGATATTATTTGAGAACTATGAACAGACACTTCAAGTTAATTTTTCTAAGAAAGAATACTTAGACTCCAGACTTAGAGCTCATATTACTTTTCTTCCTGTTTTGTTTTTCTCTATAAATCTGTTGAAAACACCTGCAGCCTTAAAGGTAGGTAGGTGGTGTAGGTGGTGTTTTCAGATGATTTCTTTGTAAATTGCTGAAAGTGACAACCAGCAGCAATTAAGGGTCAGCGTTTCTGAGCTGTAGAGTCTCTTAACCTTGCCCATCCCATCACTAAAGCAAACAGATTAATTCTATTTTTCTAAAAATTAAGTAACCATTGTATGTGTCCTGACCTGTGTATAGTTGAAATAGCCAGATGATGTTTATTATGTAACATATGATTCTCTCCATGAAGTAAGTGAAAAAAGTGTTCCTGAGTTAATGGAATAAATGTGGAGTGGGGAATAAATGATGTCCCCCTCCCTCCCCACGTCTCACTAGCCCTTTGTGTCAGGATATTTGTGTATTCCCCTGTACACATTTGGTGGTAAGTTTAAAAATCCTCCTTTTATAGAAAGGACTGGAAAACAGCTTTCTGTTTCCCGGGCAGAAGCAAGGATGGTGGTGTTGGCTGTTTCCTCCTACAGTGATGGTTTCTCGTCTTAGTGTGTTTATGGCACTGCTGCTTTATTTACTGAGCCTAGTGTGTTACAGCGGTAATTAACCCATGTTATTAGCAAAGCCCTTGTGGATATCCATTAATTCTCTTGCATGGATGATCATTTTTCTGGTGTTTTTCTCCAATAAGTTATCATTTTTCTTTAAAATTCTACATGGATGGCCTTTGATGTGTTTCTTTGATTTAATCTGACCTGTAATATATTTTGGCTATCTTATGAAGAATGGTATCTCAGCTTTTGAAAAATGCTAATAGAAGTAAGAGGAAAGATTTTTCTGGTGTTCTTTTCAAAGTAAAAAAGAGAGAGAGAAAAGAAATGAAGCTTCAAAAAGAAAATAATGTAGGAAATCAGTTTTAACTCCAAATTTTCCAGATCTTGTAATTTATAATTGTGTCTTTGGGGGTCTTTTAATCAGGTTTTTACTTAGTTAATAGCACTTTAGGTATTTTTGTAAAATATTGAGCCAGCAGAAAAATACTTGTGCTTCTTGTGCTGAGAAAAGATAAGGACCATCTCATTAGCCGGGCCATACTTTTGCAATTAATTTTAGATACCTGGTGCTATTCATCAAAGAGGGCAGCTAACTTCTCTATGATTCTATATAACAATACTTTCACAATACCTCACTCCTGCAAGAATTAACAGACAAAGAAGAGACCGTTCTTTTGGA